TTGTTGCGGGCCCGCCCGGTTGGCAGGCGGTGCCGGCTCCCGCCGCCCGGCAGGTGCGCCAGGGCGGGGAGGGGGCCCGACGGGGAGGAGGGGCTGGGCCGCGGGGGGAGGCGGGGGCGGCGGGGGCGCTCCCGGCGCGGGACCCGGGAGAAAGGGAAATGGGACAAGATGGCTGGAGAAATCCGAGCGCGCCCGGGGGCGCGGCGGCCGCGGGCGGGGCGCGGGGGCCGTGGGCGGGTGGGCGGCGGCCCCGGCCGCGGGCGCCTCGCCGGGGGACACCGTCGCTGCCGGGCGGTGTCACCTCTGCCCCCACCTCTTGCCCAGGAGCGGGCGGGGGAGGCCGCGGCCAAGTTCGGGCCCCAGCTCCGGAGACCTGAAGCCCGGTCCGCTTGCCCCAGACCCGTCGCGTTCGCCGGTCCTCTTTGGAAATCTCGAAAAAGGACACTTCGAACTCTGGAGGCCTCTTTTCTTTGGAAGCCCGGTTGGATACGGCCTCCGGGATGCGCACTCCCTCACACCTAGGAGTTGCCCGCGCCCCTAGAGGGCAGGAGCGCGGCCCTTTGTACTGGCCCGCTGTTCTGGCCCGAGAGTGTTTGCGGCCCAGAGGCGTTTCCCTGGGGGGGGGCGGTGGTGGGGGTAGCAGATAAGCGGCACCTTCTTGGGTATGCAGGCACACACCTCACTATGTGTCACTGAGTCTCGGGCAGAATGACTCTGTTTTCTGCACCAGCTCACGGCAGAATCTTTGACTTTGGAAAACCCAGGTGATGGGTATCCTGGGCCCACCAACCTTCCTGATGCTTATCTGGCCTGTAGACACAGCGTGGTTGAGGAAGTGACCTATCTGTATCCAGACACCTTGGTGGGTAGGAGGCCAGCACCCCTCTCCTGCCACTGATTTCATGTCTGAGCGGCGCCGGCTGTGAGAAAATTCTGTCGTTCACAGCGCTCTTGAAAAACCTCTTCCAGGAATGTTTACCCACCGGCCTGTTCTGCCCCTGGGTCTCTACAGAACCAGTCTGGTCTCTTCCACAGGTAGTTTTTTTAAATATTTGAAGGCAGTCAGGTGTGCTATCTGCCTGCAGCCCCTCTTATCATAATTAAAATATGTCACCTTCCAGCTTCCTGGTGCTTTTCCTAAATCCCTTCCTCCCCAGGCCTGACTCCATTCCTTCCCTCACTCCAGCCTGAACAGGGCTCAGGGCTAAGAGCTTTGTGCACACAAGCCACCCCCATCCTGGGCTTTGAAGAGTTCACACCAGCGCCTTGATTTTTCTCAACTGAATCTTGCAGAGATGGAGTCCACAGCCTATACTCTCAATCTGACCCTAAAAGAAGAAGAAGAGGAAGAAGAGATTCAGAGCCGGGAACTGGAGGATGGCCCCACAGATATGCAGAAAGTCCGGATCTGCTCTGAGGGTGGATGGGTAAGTGAGAAGGTGTGGGGTCCACACAGCTGGGAGGAGAGAAGCAGGCCTGGGAGCCAGGCTTGTTTTAAGTCTCCTCCTGAGGCAGGCATAGGAAGTAAAAATAGCCCAGCCCAGCCCGGTATGTTTGCATTCCTGAGAAAACAGTCCTGTGGCTTTAAAAGGCACTGTGGAGAATGGAAGAGCCGGTTATAGGAATGGTCTCTTATCATCATTCAGATTGGAAATCCAAGAGGCAGAGAGCTTATCTCTCTGCTGTCCCCCCGAGTCCCCTATATCCTGCTCAGTGCCAGGCATGCTGCAAACACCAGCTACCAAACCGTTGGGCTTGCTGACCTCTGTTAAAGAAAAAAGTTATCCTGACGCTTGTGAAGATGGTAAGGAAGACTGTTCAGGACTGTTGCGATAGGTGTCAAGACTGTTGCAGTAGGAAAGAGAGCTGGAGCTCAACACCGAATACAGTGAGACCAGCGGGGATTTCTAGCCAAGGAGCCAGAGTGGAGGGGTCAGTGGACGGAAAGTTACTCAGCGGAGATACCAAGAATAGGGGGATTCTTGCTAAAGGCCAGGCTGGGCAGGCTGAGGACAGGAGAGGAGCCCACGTGGTGGCCTGGCAGAGAAGAGGGCTCAAGGAACCTGACTGAGTTTGGGAAGGAGAGGGTCTGCTGCTGGTTGAAGGGACCCCTTTGAAACAAGACTTGGGATGTTGAGCTGACACGCAGAGAGCTTCAGGACGTGAGGCCAGTTGGTTCTTTGTGACCACCGCTCGTGACAGCATGCACAGGGGAGCTGCATTTCCAGAAGAGTGTGGTAGAATTAGAGTGAATTTAGAAAAAAGTGAATGCAACACAGTCCATCCTAACCCCAGCCGGCCCGCCTGTGGCAGGCCTCAGCTGTGGCCCAGAGCTCTCTAGAAGCCTTACCTTGAGAAGTGAGCAGGGCTCCTGTGGCCTTGTGCCATGGGAGCTTCTGGACATTTCAGGGGGGAAATGTAGCTGTAATGGGTGTTTATCGTTATGCTTGTGTATGGTTATTCACAGTACCTACTGGACATCATGCCGTTTGGGCACAAACGGTGAAAATCTGAAACATGCAACAAATTGCCATTCCTTTTCCCTGCTTAGTTTTATATGTCAACGTTATCAGTAGCCACTATATTCTTTGTTTCCAGTAAGAGATCGGTATTCCTAGAATCCTGGTCCTCCCAAATGTCCAGTCTGGCTCCCCTCCCACACAAGGGAACTGGGGAGCAGAGAGGTTATCTACTCTGCCCCAAGGATACGCATGTGCACTGATATTTGGTCTTAAAAATGCCTATTGAGCTGGGCCCTTAAAAGTAGTGTATTTTGTTGTGTGTACGTTATACCTCAATCAAAAAAGAAAAGAAAAACAGTACAGCACTAGGCTCTGGGCTCATAGTCTGGCTGTGTAGGCTGCACTGCCCTTGTCTTTTTGTGTTCTCTGCCCGTCCCAGCCTCCTCCCTAGTTCTGCTCCCCCACAGCCGGGGAGACCTTGGAGGACAGGAGTCAGTCCCATCTAGCTTGGAGTGAGACCTCAAGGCAGGAGAATCCTTGGGCTTTAAGGCTGATTCGGCCAACCCAGAACATCTAGGGAGCGTGGAGTGGGGCCTCATTCAGGCTGGAGAACTCAAGAGGCTCTTGGCAGGAGGCAAGCGTGCCTTCTTGAGCAGTGGGTAGCTTGACTCCCAGGCCTGTCCCCTCCTGGGGACATCTGGCAATATCTGAAGACATTTTGGGCTCTCGTGACTTGGGTCAGCTCCTAGGGAGAGACCAGGGACACTGCTGAACACCTACAGTGTGCAGGACAGCCCCCCTGTCATCCATCAGTGCCGAGGTTGACAACCCGGCTTTAGGGGTATTAAACTAGGGAAAGAAAGGAAATGAATCTTCCTCAGATAGGTAGTTTGGTTGTAGAGAGTGGGGTCAGGGCGATCAATAAAAGCCTTTCTGATGTAAGATCTGTGCTATGTATTAGGATAACGTTCCATAGGAGACTTGGAGTAGAAAATAGAGTTTCAAGGCGAGAAAAGGAAAAAATCTTTCTTGAATTGAGTAGCACTGGCCATGAGTAGCACTGGCTAAGGAAAGGGAGGAGGCCTGCACTCCAGACACGAGGAGGCCCGAGCAGGAGCCCCCAAGAGGAAAGCTTGTGGGCAGAGTTGGGAGCAGCTCCCGCAGCTCAGTGGCCTGCTGAGAAAGCCTGGGCTTTGGGATCAGACTCTGATGGTGACTGCCGGCCAGGTACGGAGCAGCTGTTTCCTCACCATAAAGGTAGGGTAGCGGGTCCCATTTCTTCATGTTACGTAAAGGATTCCGTGAGATACTTAAACGTGTAAGAGGGACTGCCCTGCCTGGTGCCTGGCGTCCAGCGGGCCCTCTCCCCGTGCACCGGTCACAGCCCTTGGCCCTGAGCTCCCTGCCACCTTCGCTGGGTGGCTCTGCCGCATCCTCGGCGAGGCTGTGTGGCGTCTCCGTGCTGCCTGACGGTCACCCCTGGAGGGGCACTGGACGCCAGCTTGCCGGCAAAGCAGGGCCGCACACAGCCGAAGGAGAGAACGTGTCTGAGGTGTCCTGTTCTGAGGAGAGGGAAGGGGACAGGGATTGAGGGTCCCTACCTGGGAGGCCAGGAAAGGGTGTCTGGGCATTGGACACAGGCAGCCTGACTTCTGAGTGTTGCGCAGGGCCAGCCCTGTTTACCTTCTGCTGTGCTTAGCCCGATGAAAAGCCTCTGGAGAGAAGGGAGGCTGCGCCACGGGGCCTGGCTGAAGGCTTGCTCCGTTCTCACAGAGGCTCGCTGTGAAGGGAATGTCTCAGCCACGGTACTGTGTGTCTCTGGAGCATAATGTGGGCTTGTTTGAAGAGGCTCTGGGCATCAGTCGTAAATATGAGGACATGAATCTGGCCCCAGCCAGCCTCCAGCCACCTTCTCGGGGCTTCAGGGCTCCTGATGTTCTTACCAGGCCGGTTACCTTTGTGAGTATCGATAGACCCTCTGAAATGACGGGCTTAGCCAGTCCTGTGTCCCATTTCATCAGCACAGGGAAAAGGACTATAAATAGGTATGGCCTAGATCTGGAATTTCCTAGGGAGAGAAAAGGCCAAAGAGAGAGTTGTTCAAAAGCCTGGGAAATGGGAAGGGGCGGGGTGGAAAATAACTGGCTGCCTGGCTTTCCAGACTGATGAAGCCCGAGGAAGACCTAGAGATCAAGCCCTTTTCCTTCTAGTATTTCACGCGTACTTCAAAGAGGAGGCTTGGTTTAGTGACAGACAACATTTCATGATTCTTTGAAGCCATTCTAAGTGGAACAAGAGAAGGGAAAATCGGATAATGTTTGCTTAAATCACAAACACATTGTTCAGTGATCGCGATCGTCAAGAAGTGTCCTAAGCGTAGGGAAATGTGGTGGACATAAGTTTGCGCTGAGCGAGCTTGTGTTCCAGTGGGAGACGCGGACGCGGGAGCCGGAAGAACACTGCGTTGTGATGAGGCCGCCCCGGTGCTGAACTCCGAGCGCCACGGGAACGTGCAGGCAGGCGCACAGCCCGGGGCAGGCGGGCTTGCTTGGGTGTTAGCCAGGCCGGGAGTGGGGAAGACCTCAGAGCTGTGGGGAGAGCCATGTGCAGGGACCTGAAAGGTCAGGGTGTGGTTTGCTTGGGACCTGCAGGCATTGAGTCCCGCTGTGCGTGGAGGTGGGGCTGAGTGGAGGGCTGGTCACCGGGGAGGCCGCTTTGCTTTGTAGGGTCTGGAGCCTGGAACCCAGAGAGTGCTAGGTCCAAACCTCAGGGCTGCAGTTCATTGGCTGTGTGACTGGGACTGACAACAGGGCCTTTCTGAGCCCATTTCCTCCCAGATTAAATGGGATTGTTGGAGAAAACAGATGAAGCAGTTACAGGGCCTGTCCTAGGAAGTGCTCCCTACGTAGAGGGTGCCCTGGGAGTGGGAAGGGAGGACGTGGACTTTGGGAGTAAGGAGAAATGCCAGTGCCCAAATGACTGAGGGCTGGACACCCGAAGAAGCTACGGCTGTGCAGACACTAATTTTCTAAGCTGATGAAAAACGGTCTCATAATCACTCAAGCTCTGGACTCAGCCTTGGGGAATAGCTTTGAAAGCCACAATACAAAGGAACCAGCCTGAAACCCAGTGATTTCTTTACCACTGACATGATGAACTTCAGAGTAAGACTTTGAGTGGCTGAAAGGCACAGCACAGTAAAAAGAAGAGCACACAGCTGAGTGGACGAGAGGACGCTGGGTTGGTGGCCCGGCTGCCCCTGGGGGCCAGTGCCCATTCCCACTGCTGGGGCGGGGGCAGTGGGGAGAGGAGTAGAGTGGCCTTCTCTGTCCTTAGGGCTTTCTGCCGAAGGTCTAGGCATGAAAGCAAACCAGTTTGCTCCAGTGTCTCATTACATAAATTTAAGCTCTAATTAGCTCTTCTTGCCTCCTACTCATGCTCTTGGAGATTAGAAAAGGCCAAACGAGGCCTTCTCGCTCACTCGCTCCTCCCTGGGCTTTGGGTTCTGAGTCAAACGGTAGGGCTAGTGCCCCTGGAAAGGAGAACAGGGCCAGGAACACCCCCACACCCCAACCCTGGGCCAGGGATCTGCTGACTCCAGGCAGGCAGGGGTTGGCTGGGCCCCTTGTATGGGTGGGGGGTTGACTCAGGTGGTTTGGGGGCAGTTGCTCCTGGGCCTACAGCGGGGGCTGAGCTGGGATCAGCTGTCCCTGCCGTGTGTGTCCCAGCCTGGTGATCTGGTGATCAGTGCTGGGGAGCTTTTCTTCTCAAGGTGCTGCTCTCTTGATCTGTGGACTGAGGCAGTAGTAGACACTCAGCAGGGCCCGTGAGACCTGGGCCGTGTGCTTGTTTTGCCTCTAGTAGCCTAGCAAGTGGACAGAGCGTGTCCCCCAGGTCACGGCCCCTCCCCTGTGAAATGAAAGTATGTGAGTCTGTATCTGCATGTGCCTATTAGTCGTTGAGAAAGGCCTGTTCCCTGTTTCAGGTGCCCGCCCTATTCGATGAGGTGGCCATATATTTTTCCGATGAGGAGTGGGAAGTTTTGACCGAGCAACAGAAGGCCCTCTACCGGGAAGTCATGAGGATGAATTATGAAACTGTCCTGTCCCTGGGTAAAGCTTTGTTTTCCTTTGTCTCCTGGAAGCTCGGAGCCCAGAGAGTTGTTCCCATGTCTCTTCTCTGGTGTGTCCGACATCACTTTCTCCTGAACGTGGACTCTGTCTCCTCAGTCCCTCTGCCCGTTTAATTTCCTGTTTTTGATGTAGGCAGGATATAAATATTGTGTCCTTCTACCCAGCAACTTGTGCCGGCTCTCCGAACTCTGCTTATTCAACCCAGGCATTCCCATTAAAAACGTCCTAACCTGGGGCCTCTGGGCAGCTCGGTCGGTTAAGCACCAACTCTTGATTTCAGCTCAGGGCATGATCTCAGGGTCGTGAGATCAGAGCCCCGCATCAGGCTCTGTGCTCAGCGTGGTACCTGCTTAGAACTAACTTTCTCTCTCTCTCTCTCTGTCTCTCCCTGGCCCTCTGCTCCTATGTACCACATGCACATGCGCTCTCTCTCTCAAATAACTAAATCTTTAAAAAAAAAAAAAAAAAAAGACAAGACCTCAAAAATGTCAGCACAGGTCTGGGCCTGTGTTTCATAGATTCCTTAGGAGGGAAGTCCAGTCTCCTTACTGCCCTGTCAGGCCTCAGCCCCTTGGGAACGTGCCCCCAAAGAATCCTTCCCCCTCCAGCATTCATAAGCCATGTGATAAGAATGGAGCCAGCTGGGGGCATTTCCTGGTTTGCACATATATGTTCCAGAATGTTCGTCCGCCCACTTCCCCACTCCACGCAGTTCGTTTTGTTGTTGTTGCTAGGACCAGCCCTCGCTAGCAGAGATCCGTCAGTTCCCTTGGACAGACTTACTTCCTATCATATTTTTTCTTTAAGTACCCCTGCGCCCCTTTCCCCCATCTTTTATACATTTCCGCATCGAGAATGGCTTGTGCATGGGAGGGTATTTCTCAAGGATTGTAAAATACTTCTTTCGGCAGTGCTGTGAGACAGTAACACACAGCTGTTACCTGTTTTATTTCCTGTAAACAGAATTCCCATTCCCTAAGCCAGACATGATCACTCGGTTGGAAGGGGACAAGGAGTCTCAGAATTCTGACGAGTGGCAGCTCCAAGGAGGACCTTTGGCAGGTACAGCTAAAGCACTCCAGCGTCCGTCCAGTGGGAACACGGTGAAGCTGAAGTGCGTTTCCATATACGTGGTGTGGGCGTTTGAGAGTAAGGCAGGGTTGTGAGGCAGGAAGATGATGGGCTTTGGGATTTTAGAATCTTCTTGCCAGTGCTGTGTGACCTTAGGCCATCTCATTCACCTCTCTGAGCCTCCGTTTCTTTCTCTGTGCACTGTGGGTAATAAGTCAGTGTGCAGCGTGCAGGAAGCACCCTGAAGCTTCTGGCATGTGACCCAGCGCACGTCCTGGGTGAAGGAGGCCCCCTCGGCAGTGCAGCACGCACCTCTGAAGACGGAGGAAGATAATGGCACAAAGCACGTGGCCAGCATTAACCTCCCCTGGTTTCTGGTCCCTTCCACCTTGGGTAGGAAAAGCAGGAGCAGATGCAGTACGTATGTGAGCAACTGTGTCTGAGATGCTCACGGTCCTTTGTCAGATGCCGTAGCTAGGAGGGTAGTAGTTGGTAAAGACAGGTTTCGAGCAGCCAGTGGTTTTACTCACCTCTTCTCTCTAGCTAAGAGTCTAAAATGCCGTATTTCATTGATTCTAAGACATTCCTCTGCCCCCACTTTGTTAATATCTCTGAAATTAAGAATTCCTCTTAGAATTAATGGCATTTTCCCCCCCTTTTTAATGGTGTGTCTTGCAACAGATGGCATCTGAGTTTTGGTGAGAAAGGGTAATTTTCCCAAGCACTATTTTATTTCTGTGACCACCTTCTAAATAGACACATACAGTGAAACCCAGTTCTGATGTTGGTGGGAAGGAACTAGTTTTCTGCCTTAGAGGCTTACCTGTGCTAAGTATGGTTCTGCTGTAGGTTTTCTTGGTTTAAGGGATGTGATTCGGGCCATGATGCATCTAAATTCTGTACTGTTTTATGGTAGTGTGGGTTATATTTGGTTTTTCAGCCACAAAAAAGTATTTGGACCCAAACATGGCCCACAAAACAGTTAATGGCGTGACCCACGTTGGGTACCTGTGTTCAGTTCCCGGCTCTGGCCCTTTCGAGCCCACCGACCTGAATGTATTCGCTTCTGGTCGTAGGGGAATTGGCAGATGAGGAAGGGCTTAGGAATGCTGTCTGTTTTAGAGTTACTGCTCGGGTGACCCTCAGGCTAAGACCTTCCCGGCATCGACCCCTCGCGGGGGATAGGCCGGAGGTCCCGCTAAGTGCTGTGCTCTCCGCCCCTCCCCGTTTGTCCGCAGAAACCGAAGAGTCGGACGTCAAGGCCGCGGACTGGGCGGGTCCCATGGGCGCCGCCGCGCAGTTTCCCCAGCCCCAGCCCCTGGACGGGCTGGGCCTGCGGCTGCCCCGCGACCTCACGGAGCTGCCCGAGTGGAGCGAGGGCTACCCCTTCTACATGGCCATGGGCTTCCCGGGCTGCGAGCTCTCGGCGGACGACCTCGCCGGCAAGTTCCAGTTCAGCCGGGGCATGCGGCGCAGCTACGACGCGGGCTTCAAGCTCATGGTGGTGGAGTTCGCCGAGGGCACCAACAACTGCCAGGCCGCCAAGCAGTTCGGGGTGCTGGAGAAGAACGTCCGCGACTGGCGCAAGGTGAAGCCGCAGCTGCAGAACGCGCACGCCATGCGCCGCGCCTTCCGCGGCCCCAAGAACGGCCGCTTCGCCCTGGTGGACCAGCGAGTGGCCGAGTACGTCAGGTACATGCAGGCCAAGGGCGACCCCATCACCCGCGAGGCGATGCAGCTGAAGGCTCTGGAGATCGCGCAGGAGATGAACATTCCGGAGAAGGGCTTCAAGGCCAGCCTGGGCTGGTGCCGGCGCATGATGCGGCGGTACGACCTGTCCCTGCGGCACAAGGTGCCGGTGCCGCAGCAGCTGCCCGAGGACCTGACGGAGAAGCTCGTCACCTACCAGCGGAGCGTGCTGGCGCTGCGCCGGGCACACGACTACCAGGTGGCCCAGATGGGCAACGCCGACGAGACGCCCATCTGCCTCGAGGTGCCGTCGCGCGTCACGGTGGACAACCAGGGCGAGAAGCCGGTGCTGGTCAAGACGCCCGGCAGGGAGAAGCTCAAGATCACGGCCATGCTGGGGGTGTTGGCGGACGGGCGGAAGCTGCCGCCCTACATCATCCTGCGGGGCACGTACATCCCGCCCGGCAAGTTCCCGAGCGGGATGGAAATCCGCTGCCACCGCTACGGCTGGATGACGGAGGACCTGATGCAGGACTGGCTGGAGGTGGTGTGGCGGCGGCGGACGGGCGCGGCGCCCAAGCAGCGCGGGATGCTCATCGTCAACGGCTTCCGCGGCCACGCCACCGACTCGGTCAAGAGCTCCATGGAGAGCATGAACACCGACATGGTGATCATCCCCGGCGGCCTGACCTCGCAGCTGCAGGTGCTGGACGTGGTGGTCTACAAGCCGCTCAACGACAGCGTCCGGGCCCAGTACTCCAACTGGCTGCTGGCCGGCAACCTGGCGCTCAGCCCCACGGGCAACGCCAAGAAGCCGCCCTTGGGTCTCTTCCTGGAGTGGGTCATGGTCGCCTGGAACAGCATCTCCAGTGAGTCCATCGTCCAGGGCTTCAGGAAGTGCCACATCTCCAGCAACTTGGAAGACGAAGATGACGTCCTGTGGGAGATCGAGAGCGAGCTTCCAGGAGGCGGGGAGGCGCCCAAGGAATGCGAGGCGGAGGCGGCAGCGGAGGGCAACTGACCTGAGGGGAGAGCCCAGGTAATGGGGGGCCCCAAGGACGCACTTGGCGCCTCCAGTGACAGCCCTCTTCGGGTTCCCCAGACACCCCTCCTCTTGCCGCTACTGTCTCCTGTTCCAAGAGCTCTCTAGCCTGGGGTAAGGGCGCCATCGACGCCCGGCCATCGGCTTCTCCCTGACATCAGCCTGCCGTTGCCTGGCTTATCTGTGGGTGTTGGACCGGGGAGCGCTTCTACGGTACCTAAAATGAACAGAGTCAGCTACCAGAACATTTCCTCTGAGCGCCATCGTGCTCAAATTATTTGGGCCCGAAAGGATATAGTCTGACATTGCTCATTTAAACAAAAAGTTTTGTCCTGAAGCCAACTTCCTTCTTTCCCTTATAAATCATGTTGCGCATTTAGGGCGGGGTTATGTTATCTGATGCCCTTGGAGTGACTGTGCTCCCTTTCTGGGGCCTGTAGGGCCGTCGTGGGGGAGAGCACGGCGTTGTGGGCCTCGGCTCTCCGTCCTGGAGTGGTCCGCGGAAGCCCACTGGGACGTGAGAACGGTAGCTTAGGCTTGCTTTTCCCTAGGAATTCAGGGGTGTTTTCCAACGTCATCTTAGTCTCCTAGTGACCTTCACGTGGATGCAGGGAGCAGTTGCAGTAATTTCTTGTAGTCCACTGACGTCTGAAGAGAGAGATTTCTAAATTGAATCTTTGCACCAAAAAAAGAAAACAGGGCACATATCTAGGACTACAGTGAATAAAGTCCAAGGACTAGGACAATAGGCCTGGAATTTTCAGAGTTGAATATAGAAGGGGAGCAGCTTTAAGAGGAAGTGGGGAGTGGGGACTGAGAGACGACACCGGTGACTGTTCACCAAAGTGAACAAGTGGAGGGGAGCCTCCACCCCCCCCCATACACAGCTCAAGATGAGAGAACAGCCCACCAGGTACAGATTCATTTTACCGTCTTGCTCTCGTTTGCCTAATGGTCAGTTCATTTGTTTCCAGAGACACAGTGTTCAGTATGAGAGATCATTCCTCCTTTCACAGAGGACCTAAAACTATTTTGACGTTCTTCATCCTTCTGTAGCATAACTGCATGGTTCTATCCTCCTTGCTTTTTTCTCGAAGCAAATGCTAACAAGTCTTTCATCCTGCTCCTTGCTGTATTAATTCCAGGAGAGACTTCTGTCTCCGTCCCTGCCCCCAAACCCAAGTATACTCATGCTGCTGGACTCCAGGGCGGTTCTGAGACCCTCGGGGACCGTGGAGCCCAGGAGGGGTTCTTACTGTTACATTTGAATCTCCGAAACTGCTTTCTCCCGCCTCATGTCCCCTCCCCTTTCCCTCCACGAACTTTGCCTCCCTTTTCTGCTAAACACTACACAAATCAAACTTTGGGTTATAGTGAGTTTTTCATTCTTTTCTCATTTTACCTTTTTTCCCCCTTTTGTGCATTTTTAAAATTTCCTTAGCTCTTGCTACCAGAAGAGGAAAGAAAGGGAGGAGACAGGGCTAGGCTGCAGCGGGGAAGGTAGGCGTGTACGTCTGGTATCATTCGTGACTTCTTGCCCAGCGGGACCGCCAGCTCTCTGTGCGGTGTCTGCCCTCTGTTGAACGGAAGACGTGATGGGAGTAGTTAGGGATTGTCAGTAAACAGGAGATTTAGGAGGGAGGGGACAGATGGGCATAAAATTGGCCTCTCCTCATCTGTTTGGAAATCTAATGGAATAATTATGTTCGTTAAAATGTATACGATTTCTAAAATCCAAGGGTTAATTCACACTGAGGTTCTCTCTGTTTTCCAGCAATTGGAACTATTTGAAACAGGTGAGGAGGAGAATCCTCGAGAAGATTCCTCAGTGTGGATGCACAGGGCGCAGCAAAAGGCCACAGGGCTCTGGACAGCAGCCCGTGTACCCCACCCCATGACACAGCCCAGCCCCGCTGCCCATCCACAAAGTGTCAGAAAAGGTGTCTGGGACTCTGAGTTCAGCAGAGACAATGATTAGGGAAGAAATGGCTTCTGTCCCTTTTTTTTTTTTTTTTTTAAGAGACTAATCCATGTGTCCATCAAAAAAACAAAAAACAAAAACAAACCTGTAAATATGAAGGAACAAAGGTATTTCCTGGAGAAGAGACCATTTATTCAACACCAACGAGAGACTCAGATGGGCCCAACTCTGCTGGTGTCCATCCTTTCTGTGGAGCAAACCTCAAGTCAGTGTTTTCTTTTGCCTTTAAAAATGCTTCCAAGAGCAGAACCTGTATCCACACAGGTCAAGACTGCAGAGAAGGTTTTGTGGAAATGAGTCCTTTGTGTATACCTGCCACTCACAGATTTCCTCTTTTGGAAAAAGGAGATACTAACGATAACAACATTCACATACGCTGGCCTGGTGCCAGCAGATGGCTTTTCTACAGACAAACTAGGTTCCAGGAAGGTACAGGTTAGAATAAACTGTGCTGTTTTATTTATCTTCCCAATCTGGTTGGCAGCTAGAATTTTTTAGGATCTTCTTTAATGGCCCCGGTGTGTCGTTACACTTAATGATAGGGCGGCACTGGTACACAAGCTCTTCTGTTTCTTGGCTGCCTGAAGACGAAGTCACCGTAAATTATCTGCTGTCTACATGGTACAAGGCTCCTTGACTCATCTGATACTTGTTTTGTTGACTTCTTTAATATTTTTATCACGGGGGTATGAGAGGACATGGGCCTTTAGCCACAGCTGTTTCAAGACTTCTCATCCTCTACCCTGCAGGAATAGATGGGAGGTCTTTGAATTTTTACATTACAGTAATTTGCATTCCCACATAAGTTGTTACGAAAACATTCCTTCCAAGCTCTCTGTGCTACAGAAAACATGCCAGGACCTTATAGACAAAGCCATTGCTAGCAAATGTCATTCCAATGTCAGCTCTGAATAACAGGCTACCATAACCACTTTTCCTCCCTGTAGACTCAGCTCATTTATACTGTTCTGGGCATCTTGAAACACCTATTTCTACTCAGGTACTCATTTTCCTATTAGTGATTCGCTTTCTCGTATTTTTAAAACCAGTTTTCCTCCAAGGACACGGGGGGATATTTCACTTAGTTTCTGGTAACTGAATAACTTTCGGTATCGGAATTGTTTCCCCATTTGCTTTCACCTGTACTGAATTCCTTGTTATCTTCAATAGGCATCCAGATCCAGCTACTTATCATTCCAGAAGTTCCCATCCCCTCCACTTCGACTTAATTTATCCTCCACTGTCCTGGTTCCTGGCCCTTCCTCTTTATATTCTGTTTTACTTGTTTCGGGAGCTTAAATGATTTTATAAGACCTAATTTTGGGTTCCTGCTTTGGAGCCATAGTTTTCTTACAGAGAAGAGCAGGAAATGGGTTCGACTCCTATTTCATTCCACCAACACTTTCTTGAGTCTCATCATCAGCTGATAGATGATGCCTTACAGGTTGCATAGCACTGGAACTTTCCTAGAGTAATGGCTCTACTGTCAGGGTTTTTCTGGGCTCATTCTTCCACTGACTTAATTATGATCTATGCTTAACAGAGTCCCAGTACAACTATTTTGCAGAACAGCTATTACCCTAGAACTACTATAGCACATATTGAGACATAGTTGTACTCCCCAGTAGGTAGAAATTGACCCCAACAATAAACTTTGATAATAAAGACAACAGGCTATCGTGGTTTTATTTATTATTTACCTGGTAGCATTGTGAAAGGTCACACTTCAAACTATGAGTTACACTTTATTCTCCATTCAGTTTGGGGTGTGTGTGTGTGTGTGTGTGTGTGTGTGTGCGCGCGCATATGTATATAATATCCTTGAATTGAAGAAGTGTCTGTTCATGGGACGGCAATATAAATGTTGGTGTCTGAAGACAGAGGAAAGAAATATATGTGTTTTAAACTGAATTAAGAGTCAGGGGGTTGGCGGGCTGAAGGGAGGTCTGGCATGAAAAGCTTTTTTCTTTTTTTCTTTTAAAGATTTTATCTATTTGAGCGAGCAGAGGGAGAGGGAGAACCAGACTCCCCACTGAGCGGGGAGCCTGACACAGGGCTCGATCCCAGTACTCCGGGTGCCTGGTTTTACATAGTGATACACCTGTAGCTAAAAGACAATTATTGATGGTCCTGCCAGGAAAAATAAGCTTTAAGTCTGCTTTAAGTCTGAAATGATCTCGTTTCTAACAAGCTTTTTCCTCACTGGAGAGTTCCTTTTCCAAGCGCTGGGTAGTAAGCAGTCAGGATCTCACTCAGGATCCCACAGTTGGCAACACTTAAGAGTTGGAGCCAACCTTTGGCGGAACAGAGGTGTTCAAATCTTTCAGGGACTCCCTTGAAAAATCCTAAGTATCCCTCTACCTTCGATCCCACCTTTCCACTTTACAAAATGATTCTTGAGGAAGACCGGCAGGAAAAGCAGATTTTCATTTAAGCCCAAAACACATGAGACAAAGGGAGTCCTCTGGTGGCCTGTGGTCCCACCAGAGCAGGTGACCTTGGGGAGGTAGGCAGGCCACACCCTAGAGAGCACCAACGACGTGCTCCCTGGAAGCTGTCACTGCACCAGGCAGCAGGACATGGCTGAGGCCCCGGCTGCTCTCCATGGAAGGACTGCATACAGCTTTACGTCCCCGGATGTACAGACGGCCCGAAACAAAGCCACTACATTCACTAGGTATCACTGCACATTTTTCTCAATCTAAAAAATTACCTAAAATTCTGAAGGACTTCTCAGACTTGTGCCAAGAACTGAAACCAGGGTGTTTTTAGTTTACACATCACAAAAGGAAGAAATGGCATACTGAAGTCGGAACCCGTTCTTTAATGATTCTCATCTAGCGCATCCCTCTGCAAAGTCTGCTAAGATTTCGGAGAGCAGGGCTTTTCAAACTTCTGTAGGAGGCAGTTTTCCTTGTATGTTTATTTTAATAAACACACAAAAAGAAGTTTTCTGAAAGGTTTATTTGTCACATTTAAAGTACAAAATCAAATACACAGATCCAAATACTGAACCATGTGAACAAGTCCGTCTATACATAGATCACGTAGCCCTACACAACCCATCCAAACATTCTAGCATAGCCCAATACTATCTTCTGAGTAAAAAGCATCACTTCCAAAAAAAACAAACTTTATTATTAGTAACACTGCCAAATGTAAATTATTTTCACTTTATCATTTGATAAAGGATAGAAACAGATACTGCAGAGGAACTGGGGAATTTCTAAGTATAAATCTAATATGTGTATGTGGGCTTTTTAAAACATACTCTATAGGAATAGTCAGTAGATGGACTTGCCAACCAAAGTCCCCGGGGCATATCAACTATAAAAGAAACAAGTTATGACAAAAAACTTTGTAAGATTAATTACATTCCAGAGGTTTTTTGTTGTTGTTGTTGTTTTGGTTTTTAATGCAAAAAAAAGGACTTTGTCTAACAGCACAGCATTTCTAGGTCCTATTTTCTATGGAGTGGTAATGAACTTTGAGGGAGACACCTATATCTGTTAAACTGGTCACTAACGGAGGTATATGATTTTTAACACTGTGTGGATTATTTCAACCAAAATGCAAGAGCACAGTTCTTTAGAAGAAAGGCAGAGATGTCAGGCTTGCCAGATACAGAATATATGTGGCCACTGAAAACACAGATGTCCCTGCTGATCATGGGGACTAAGTTATAACAGCGTCTTTGTTCTAGGATGTCATCTACCTCACGTGCAGACCACAGGATACTAAGCCTCAGATGCCCGAAAACGTTTGCAATCCAGGCACAGAATTTTTTCAGAGCTTCCTCCCATAACTGAGAACACACGCACACATACGGGGACATGGGTCATGAGCAAAGTCAGATTTATATTAATGGCTTCACAGTAGCAACACAAAATGTACTCAGTGTCACATTTCCATAGGAAAATTTATATTTACACTGTACACTTCAGTCTTGAAATGTGGACCCAAAAAACATCCAATTCTCAACAACCAATGAATTCGCTGAGGGTTCCATCCCCTCAGATCGCCCTAACTCAGCAGAGCGACAGGCCTTCCTTGGCCGCCAGGCGCTGGCGGTGGACTTTGTCCTGCCGCAGTTCTTCGTGGTTGGGGTGCCAGAGCTTCATGATGATCCTTTCGATGTTGAGAGCGTATACGGTGTGTGTAGGAATGACTTCCCTGTGCACCTGTGATTCAAATATTTGCATGTTTCCGATTTCACTTCAGTGTATGTATTTTTCCAACATATAAAATTAAAAAGGGTTCGATCCACAAACACACACAAAAGATGCACAAACCTACTCACTACAAGCCAGAGTCTAATGAAGCTCCAACTAGATAACAAGAAAACAAGCCTCTGAAATAGGAGTAAGGGAACAAGAGGATTTTTTTCTTTCCTTTCTTTTGCGGGCCATGTGGGGTCTGGGAGAGGGAAGGAGGGAGGAGGAAGGAGGCCTGGACCCTGGATTTGAAAAATGAAGGTAATATGAATGGCTTTAATAAACTAAAAACGGAAAACCAAAACCAGGAAGAGGAAAGGCTACTGAACATCTTCGTAAACTCAAAGAAACTTTGAACCTATCCCTAAATCTAGGCCAACCTGAAGGGGCCAAGAGTTACCTGCAAAGCTTCGAAAAGGTCGTACATGTTGACTGGAGGCAAAGAGGCAGGCAGAGTGTCCCCGGAGCAGGCCAGGAGGAGGGCAGCCTGCTGCTCTGCGTCATCGGGGGGCGGGTAGGAAGCTGGGTTCTGACCGGCACAAGGAGCAGAAAAGGCTGGAGGACTGGAAACAAAGCCAGTAACTAGGAAGGAGACAACTGAACAACTAGAATAGAAATGGGCTTTAATACATCTTATTAAAAATATCTTAAAATGAACGAGAAACCCCATTACAAACCCAATTAATTTTTAGCTAGTATATACATCAGTAGCCCATAATCTACATTCTTAAAGGCAGCGCATCTGTCAAGCTGCAAACAGAATGCGGAGCAACCACACTTCACCCCTCTCTCCACAATGTTAAAATATTTACTAAGCTCAGGACA